AGAGGGAAATTAGGAGCTGAACTGAACTGAATTGATTGGAGTTGAATTGAACTGATTGGAGCTGAACTGAAATTAAGTAAATGTGAACAACCTCTAATTGCTTCTAAACATATCCTTGTGTGATTTAATGATTTAACTCTTATGCATAATATTTGGACAATTATATCTTTTAAAATATTTATTTACTAATTTTTTCTAATTAATGTTAATTGTCTTTTTTTTTAAAAAAAAAAAAAACTCTTAAGATTAGTGTGTGGACACTTATACCGTTAAAAAACTAACATTTGTTTGCAAATTATTTTCCATCATTATGTTGTCAATAAGACAATAACTAAACGCGCTCACCGGACATGGCTAGGAGGCTAGCCATAGCGCGCGTTAGCAATTACTAAAAATGTTGGTTGTTGAGGGATTCAAAATCGCATTGCATTCTTGCATTTCAGCACCATTATTTTTTAATTTGATTTTAATGACCAATAACATACTATCTATTCTACATTGTCAAATAAATTACCTATCCAGTTTACTTTTCTTGTAATTCTTATAAGATATCCTAATTAGTTTAAGAGTGAGAGATAGCTCACGTGATTAGAGCTTTTCTCCTGGTTATAAAGAATCTTTTTATCCTAGAATAATCAATTCTCGTTATTTGCCTTTGTAGCTCTCTATTATCCACTTTTGTGGCTCTCTATTCTCTAAACAACAACAACAAAAAAAAAGGCGTTTATATTGAAGTGTACATAATGGCTAATGCAAAAGCCAAATTATCGTAAATGGAGAGAGTGACTGATTTGGGCAAACCTACTTTACATGTTACCCTAAATATTTATTATTATTTTTTTTATGATGCCCATGCGGTTCACCGAAGTTTAGCTCCGAGAACATCCGAATCCGACTCGAGTAGCACACCACACTTATGGTATATGAGTCCCCCAACAAGAGTTTCTGCATACGGTGAGGATAGGACCTCATACCTCCCTTAAGCGATATAAAATTGCTTATCAGTTGAGTCACCTCTTATTATTCTAAATATTATTACTATGGTGTAAATAAAAATAAAAAATTTCCCTGTTTTTAAGGGATATGATCCTACTGTCACAACTCACAATATTTTTTTTACATAGTTTGGTGGCTACAATGTTTAGATTTCCAAGATGTTACACAGTTTAGTTCGTGCGTAGAATTAAACATCGACGTGCTCACATTGATGTTATTTGGGATTTTATGTGTTGAAAAAAATTGCTACGACCCAATCACATTTATGTGAGGTGACAATTATCTAGCTTGATCGATGTGATGGGCTTTGAAATTGTGGCACATCACTTCTCCTATTCCACTCTTTCTGTGCTAAAAAAATTTCCAATTTTTTTTTGTCTATTTTTATGATTTATAATTCATAATTTATTTTTATTATTTTATTATTAAGTATTTAAATGGAATATACGGTTTTTCCTAGAAAGAAGATATCCAGTGCAAAAGACTGTAAAATAAAGCCCACTCCCCCATAAAATTAGGGTTTTGAATATTATAGCTTAAGTCAGCATTACCCCTTTAGGTCATGCATTGAAATGGTACGGAATTGCAGAAAAAGATTCAGTAATTTCACTGCAAAATACCCCTTTTGGTTGAAAATAATATTCGTGTAATCCTTTTTGGAATGTCTAAAAACAGAATAATAATTGTAAGAATGATTATATTAAGTTATTAAGGCTATGATTGGTTCAACTATTTTTTTTTTAAAAAAAATAAAATTATTTTAGCAAACATTATTTCTTACCAAGTATTCCGCATAATATTAATATACTTTGATTGGATTCTCTCTGTTATTTTAATATGAGTATTCATACTTCATATAATGTCAGTTCAAATTAACTACACTCTATAATCATAATGTCTAATAAAATAGTATAAGTACGAGGTATAAATTTAGTTGTATTCAATTAAATCTTTTGATTCATTAATTATTTAAGAGTCAAGACATTGCCATGTTCTATATTATACGTCCAATAATGTATAATATACTCTGTACTTATTTCTATTGCCTGTTAGAGTCTTTATAAGACATACTTACTTGATACATCATTGAGTTCATGTAGAATCTTACAAGTTACAACCATTTATAACGCATAATAATATGTCTAATAAATATACAACCATATATAACGCATATTCTTCCTAAGACACTTTCCGATCCAATTTTATAAATCTTACTGTCTTCTAAGTCCTAACCAAACTACTTTGTAAAACTCTTATTAAGGGCATGTTCACATTTACTGAAGTGAGCTGAATTGAACTGAACTGATTAAAGGTGAACTGAACTAAATTGAGCTGACATGAATATTTTATTAGAAGAATGAAATTAAAAGCTGAACTGAACTGAACTGAACTGAAATTAAGCTGAAGTGAGCAGGCCCTAAGTTGCTTTATGATAGACATTCTTAAATGCTATTCCATGTGTACCAAATCTACCTTTGCAACAGTCGCAACGTGTAATGAAATACATACACTGAAAATGATTTATGAGTACCTTTTTATCTATCTACTTAAACTTTTACCACCCCGCTATTGTATATGTGTAATTGTTGGTGTGGAACTTTAGGTGTCTATATGTGTACAAACCCTATGAGTTAATCAACTTACAATGACAAATTTAAACCGAATAAAATATAGGATTCCTTATTCAAGTACTCGGTACAATATACAAATGCAGACTTTCTTAAGTGTAAAGTACAACAAAAATATATATAAAGGACTTTATTTATTAAACGTATATGCTCTATATGTTCAAATCAGAAATTTTGTAATTAAGAATTGATCTAAAATCCATATTTTCTATTATAAAATTAGCAAATCCATATCTTGACGCTTAATTTCAAACTTCTTTCATTTTTTTTGTCCTGTATTTTATATATTTTCGTAGCTAGACCCTATTTTCAACCATATAAAAAATACTTGGTATAAAATATCAAGTATAAGTTCAATAGGTGTGTTTTTCTGCTTGAGCATAGTACAGTAATCCACAAGGACCACAAAAACTCTGTGTCAATTTAACAATTTTTTTTTTTGGTTTTTAAATTTGAATAATGTGCTACTCATATTATCAGCACATTTAGTACTAGTAGTATTATTCATTAGTTTGGACATAAATATGTAGCACGAGTTAACTCATTTAAGTACCAACACAATTCTAAAACACACAATAAATAAGCAAGTTAACCATTATCTAGCACATGGACAGCAAACAACCAGCATCTGAAAATTCCAAATACTATGCTACGAAGTATTCCCTCCGCCCCTTATAATTTAATTTGCATCCTTTTATCTGACTCAAAAAGCTCTCATAAAAAGTGGACTCATTGTGCAAATAAATAAAAGAGAATGAGGGAGTGTTGATTTTGTAAACAGCTTGTACTAAAATCTAACCAAACATTATCAATGCAGTAGCTAATACCAAAGTGGCACAGTGGTTATGTTTTCTTTACATTATTTCATGAATTAATTTAACTTTTATAATAAAATTAGGTAAGATTAAATCGGTTCAAAATGATTTAGACTAGATCATGTACCCCGGCCCATTTAATAACATTATTTTTATGTTATTATTGATGTAAATTTGCATACGAGTGCATTTTCTTCCTTTAATTTATTTGACCTAAACTTATATACAGGTATTGGAGATTAGAGTTATAAGAACTTATTGGAATTGATTGTAATTGAAAAAGTAAATTTGAGAAACTAAACTTATTACTCCGTAGAACTTATAAGTACCACTACTTGAAACTTAGCTGAACATATCTAAAATTATTGAATAGGAAACTTAAATTTATTTATAAAGTTAAGAGAGAGAACGCACCCAAAGTTTATTCAAACCAGATCAAACCGGACTAGTGAAGTTCAAATTAGACCAATCTTCACAAAATTCATATCATAACACCTTATTTCAAGTAAAGATAACATACCATTCATAATATAAGCTAATATAATTCAATGTCAGCAGACCAACCGCTGATTGTTAAACAAGGCTCAGATCAATCATCTATTTAAAGCTTTATACTATCAGAAAAATCATGTTTTGTTCGTATTCATGGAGCACCAGTTTTGATGTATTCTCAACCAGGCCAATTAGGGTTGTTACTTGTTAGGGATCGCTGATCTATGAGAATGTTTGTACATTTAATGTTAATAGAGTAATAGATGCATGACCCAACAAACTTAACTATTTTATTTTAGTTCTTTTTTTTTGGTGTAACTCTTTATTTCTTTTTTGCTAAATTAAATATAATTAATAGGGTTTTAGATGGCCCACTAATGCCACTGGTAAAGAATTATTGAACTAACAAGGCTTTACTCTTTCTTATATTTGAGTTTTGTTATACTAAATGTTAAAAGAAAATTTAATAATGCACACTTTTTGTTATAAGCAAATACATCCAACTGTCTAAGACCTATCTATTTCCTTATGATTTGATTTTTCTCGTTTTGAATACACTCATTATAGGAGTACATGCTTGATTGTGGCTTGGCTTACACCCTTTTAGATCTTCTACTTTTTCATTCAAATGGAAAATGCTATACATGCTTGCTTCAAACATTAAAAAGTTAGTTTAATAAATACTCTGTAAAAAATAACTAACGAGAACAGAGTCATATTAGAACTTATAAGTGATCGAAAATAAAGTAAGGAGAACAGAGTCGTATTACAACTGATAGTAAAGTAAGGAGTATAGATAAGAAGGGATACAAACTGAGTTTTTTTTTTTATAAAAAAAATAAAATTCTCCGTTCTACTTTTCAATTATTTTAATACTCACTTGAAATTTAGTATAAACAAAACAATGAAAGTGATTGATTAAAGAGTTTCGTTGATTGATGTACAACTACACCATTTATATTGTTTATTATAAAATTTAATTGTAAATTTGTAATTAATTGATAAGAAGACGCTAGAATGTAATAAAAGGATAAGAGAATTTTAATCAAATAATAAGAATTGAGTTCACTCCAAGACTTCAAAGAACTTCAATCTCATCCATTAATTTAGAAAACAAGCACTATACACAATTAATCATATCCTTACACTCGGAAAATAACCAAGAAAACACACATACATGAAACCACACACTCTTAATTAGAGTCATTAATCATTCTACTTGAACCCTACAATAATGAATCAACAAAAGATTTATACATATAGTTTAGGAAAATACTAAACCATACATACCTTAATCAATATATCCTTGGTTGTATGTCCTGTCCATGAATGCACAATTATGGCCTTGGACTTTATTGTACTCGGAATTCACAACCATTGTACCCTCCATTGTAGTAGATATCGCCCCAAATTGCCCTAAATCCATGGAAAATGCCCTAGCAAGAGCTTCATCTTGAGAATCATCAATCGACGAAGAGGCCGTGGTGGCCAAGAATTTCTCAATGATACCCACAGAAGCCATATGATCTTCTAATGGTTGTTGTTGGTTTACTTCATTAACCCTCATAACATTATCAAGAGAATTAGGGTTTTCCTCCATTTCTAAAGGGTATTCTTTATTATTATTCTTGATTAATAACTTCTCTTTTGTCCTCTCTCTTGCCCTAGCTCTTGCCTCCTTCCTTTTCTCATTAATTTTAAACATTATTCCTCCCTTCTTATTATTATTGTTGTTATTATTACTATTATTTTCTCCCATTTTCTTGTTCATCATTTCTTCACACAATAATTTCTCTTTGTTATTACTACAATCACCTTTAATCATTTCTTCTAAAGGAGATGAAGGTAAGATACTAGTGCAACTCTTGTCGGAAAGATCCTTAATAGCCGCCTTAGATTTGTTAAACAACCACTCAATCGTCTTGCTCGCCTTGTCAAATCCCAACATATCTTGTAGATCAAAGAACTTCCTTGCTATTTGGAGAGACAACCTCATCCTCCGATCCCTCGGACCGTGAGCGGTATGTATCTTGCTATGCCTATCTTTCTTCCCCGTCCTTCTTTTTGATGATCCTCCTACACGGTCTTGCTTCTTCTTGATCCCTTTCTTTGGTGCCGCCTTCTCACCGGGATTGTTACTCCCTCCAATGTGTTGATCTACGTTGGTAGTTTCATTGATCGTAGTTGATACTAGTGATGGTGGCGGTGGCGGTGGTGGGGGAGTGTTGTAGGGCAAAATGGTGTCTAAAAAAAGCTCATCATCATCAAGCAAGTGACTAGGAAAGTTATTAAAGAGATGATCATCAAAAGGGTGGTGATGGGTATTGTTTTGATAAATAGGAAGAATACTATTTGCATTGTAATTTGAATCAAACATGGTTACATTTATTTGTCTTTTGATGTTGAAACTATGTTAATAATTAATTACTACTCCTAGTAGTGTTAAAAAAAAAAGTTAGGGTTCTTAGGGAGGGAGGGAGAAAAATCTAGATGTTTGTTGAATATAGCTGTTGATAATGGGTAGCACATAACTATTAAAGGAGTTTTTTTAATTTAATTTTTAACATGTACGACAACCATTATGATAAGGTGGGGCAAAAGAAAGTAACACTCTTTCCGTCTCAATTTACTTGTTCTATTTTTCATTTCTATATTGATCTACTTGCTTGCTACATTCATAAATTACATACAATCATGTAATTTTTCTTAAGATAATTACATGATAATTATTCATACTTACTCATTTAATTTTTCACACTACAATTTCAATTACATACAATCATGTGCAAATAATTAGCTATGAGATAACTACGAATGAAAATACCAGAACAAGAATGTAATAGGATTGAGAAAAGATTACCAAGTTTTATTTGAAAAACCAAAAGCAATATGTAGTTGGAATCTTAGTATGTAATTGGTTTTATAGTCTATTAGTAACCTAATAATAATTTGCACGTATTAAGATATTTTGTTAATATCGTCTTCCACAGTAAGTAAATAAATTGAGACAGACAGAATATTAATATTTTTATTTTCAAATTTCCTTAAAATAAAAGAAAGAAAAGGAAATTTAAGTTATAAGAATGCATGAAATGAATCAGCCCAAATTTAGGGCAAAAGATGAAGAACAACACAGGAGCATGGACCAAAGCAGGAAACAGCAGTAGGTAACGTGACATTTCACGTGGTACTAGATTGATTGAAGTAACCCTTCTCTCAGAAGAGAGAGAAAAATGCATACTCGTACAATACATGGTTATTGGTTAATAAGAAATGAAGTTAGTGAGGGATATAATAAATGCCAAGAAGACTAATAATCTAAGCTAAAAAAATAGGGATGTTCACGTTTGTTGTTAAAGATAAAGCATAAATGGAGCATATTGAATATAGCATAGTAGAATACCTAGGGATAAAACTATAGAAGGGAAAAGATATAGTGAAGGACAATTATTTCAGCTGGCTTTTAGGGGGTTAAATTAATTTTTTTAGCATCGATTTTAAAACCCTACTTTTATGACCATTGGTACAAAAGGAATGGCTGTTCTTGACCATGGGGAGACAACTTTGTCCATTTCCCTTTTTTTTATTATTGCAATGCAATTGATGTTGCCCTCACTCTTTCTTTTTTCTTGCTTTTTATTGATTATGACTTGTGTAGTTGTGTATGCATATGTTGGATTTTAAGGTGATTAGGGATAAACATTGGTTAGTTGGGTTTCGCGATTAATTTTGAATTTTTCTGTCTGATCTTATTAGAATTTAATTATTTGGTACAGTATCATAAAGTGTATTGAGTTTATTTTGTCTATATTTATGAATATAACTGAAACTATTAAAAAAAAAAAAATTATAATATCACATTTTCATAATTTAATTTTGTTTGTATATAAGCCATGTGCAGTTCACCTTAATTATTTTGCGATTAGTTTTGTATTTAATTAAGTTGAGTTTTATATTGCGATTAATTTTGAATCTATCTATTGACTAATTTTGTTAGAACTTAATAATTTTGTATTATACAGAGTATTAATTTATTTTGTCTATATTATTACTCTATATTAAAGTGAAATTTGTTCTAGAAGGAATTTTCCCTTTTAAACTCTACTTTTTTTTTTGAAGCAATAATTTGTCTGGGAAATTGATTGTATTTATTTATTATCATGTATTTTTTGAATTTATCTATCTATAAATCTATACTAAGGTCTGTTCACATTTACTGAACTGAGCTAAACTGAACTGAACTGATTGGAGCTGAGCTGAACTGAACTGAACTGAACATATTAGAGCCGAACTAAACAATAGAGCTAAAATAAATATTTATGAGAAGGAAATTAGGAGCTGAACTGAATTGAACTGAACTGAACTGATTGGAACTGAACAAAAATTAAGCTGAATTAAATAAGCCCTAAATAAGAATTTTTTCCCTCCCAAACGCCTTACAAATTCCGCCTAAAATTCACAAGTGACTTATAATATTTATTTTCTTGGAAATATTTTTTTCTTTTATGCTTAATATTGTGCATAATAACTCTTATCACCCTTGAAAAATGATACAAAAGTAGTATGATGATAAAAATAATTCAAAAGTCTTATTAATTACTTCATATATGAAGTATTATAAAGATGATTCTAGGTGATGTACTTGTCCATAGAACAACTAATGGTCATGAGGGATATATGCATATAATATTGGGCTAAGAATTGCAATATGCAGACTTAATTAGCACTTAGGTAATTAAATTATTATTTCTTACTATCTAGCATTTATATTACCTTTGATCTTCCTTTTCTAAGTATATGAATATTATGACATACATGACAACATCTTGAAAACCATGTCAAATGAAATGGTTAGACACTGGATGACTGGAAATCTGAAATGCATGAAGGAAACTTTCTTAAACCTATTTTGCCAATTAGATGCTATAAGTTTATGATACTTTCTCTCTTTTATTACTCGTTCATCATTTTTTCTCTGTATTTCGTGAGGGTTGACAATCTTAGTCCGACACTAGCCAAGCAACATAGCCATTATCAAAGCACTTAGATTTAATTGCATGCCCCCTTTTTAAGTTTTAAACCTATTTGATTGACAAGACAAACCACCAATATGAGAATATTTTTCAAGTAATCGATCAGCAAGGCTTTATAATACAAAAAAAAATGTAATTCTTTATTGTTTAACTACATAAATTAATAGTGATCAGAAAAGGAAAAGGGGATGAAAAACCTTGATTCCTTTTTTTGTTGTTTGTAATGTCAATTCAATCATTCTCTTTATCCTCTTCTTACCTCAAACTCCTCCACTTTGATTCCTTATCACCCATGAATATTTGCATGGGGCAAGCAATCAGATAAATAGGACTCATTTGGGCCGGTTTTGGTGTCTAATCGGACTGTGTCGGGTCGTTCAAGTCAATTTTGGCTCTATTGTCAGGATGCATTATAAATAAAATAGTCATTATTAGAAACATTTATTGTTGCCTTATCGGGTTTGTTTGGTTCAATTTGATTCATATTGGGTTAAATAGTGTCAAGTGATTTCAAGCAGATTTTGAGTCTGGTATTTTAAGTTGGATGATTGCATATATGAGTTTTTTTTTGGTGTGTGAAGAGCCACAAAGGGCGAGTAATGAGAATCGATTCAAGGATCATCTGAAATCAGGAGGGAGATCTAACCACTTAAGATATCCCTCACTCTCAGTTACTAGTTTTAATAGATCTACTTATTACATATGTTGGGTTATAAGGTGAATAGAAATAATTGTTTTAACCTTGTTTTCAATAAATTTATGTGTTGGTTGACTATATCAAAACACATTTGAAATTAGGTCTTGTGCTCACCTTATAAAGAAATTTTGTAAGAAACTACCTTATTAAATATTAATAAATGTTAAGTTGCTACCCCATGCTAGATTTTATGATAAGAGCAGGGTTATAAGGGAGCTATATATTTGGAAACTGGGCTAGAAAAAGGGGCAAGAAGAGTGGGAAATGGCCTGGATCAGTAAACGTCCGTTCAAGTAAACGTCCGTTCAAGTGCATCTTGTTGCATACAAGAGGGCAAAAGTGAAAAGGCGCATTCTGAATGATACTTTTTATGGTTTCAGTGGTACATTTTTTGTACTATTATACATGTATATGGTACCATTTATGTCTTAGTACGTAGTACTATTATATCTCACAGTAGTATAATATTTTGATGTACCATTTACATAGTTATTTTTTCTTAAACATAAATCACCATTCGTGAATAGTGTAAAATATATATACACGTGTTGCAACTAAATATAAATAGACCTAATAGAGCATTTATAATTTAGATACTCGTTTATAGGCCAGTTTTGGAGGATGTAAAATTGGAAAATTCCCTGTTTCTTATATTGAGAAACGAAATTTGTTTCTCATGGGGGCATTTTCGTGAATAAATCAACTACTATCATTACTATATTGTGGGCTTCACAATTGAATAAAGTTGTTGATTTTATTTACAAAAAACCCCATCAATATACCGTATAAAATTGTCTAGGCTTTTTAATCATAACTTGATTTACTCCGTACTTAATATAAACTCTTTAAATTTATCGATCTAAACTTATTATTTATGAATTAATTCAAAATAAGTCGAGGATTATAATTCTAACTCATTAGAGAAAGATCAAGAGAAGATGCAATAGCTTTACCATGATGCTTTCTTATTGCTCATTATCTCCTAAACTCTGTATCTCATGAAAGTTGACAACCTTGTGTAGTCCCACACTAGCCAAGCAACACAAGCAACATAGCCATTATCAATGAAGCCAAAATGTATTGCTTCTAAATTCTAATTGGCCACTTTAAAGGTTAAAACTTACGGATTATTTGACAAGACTAACCACCAATATGAGAATTCTTTTTCTAAGTAATCAATGAGACTTGTAGACTATAATAAACTCAACGAACATAGGAAGAAAGAAGTCAATTTAGTAATTGGCCTTTCAATAATATTAAGTATCTGAACTTATATATGATGTGCTATCTAAACTTATCTGATTAATCCTAATTAGATCTAATTTCTCCTTATTCTCATGTTATTTATACATCTGATTTGCTGATTACACTTAATTAGTCCTGATTGAACATAACACATACACCCGGCCTAAACTACTTTAAAAAAGAGTGAAATTATGTATACTCCTTATCAATTAAGAGTTGATTAAAAGTTAGAATCAATCCTTCTAATTTTCACTTGGTAATGGTTAGTTTATACACAAAGAAGTACTACCTCTGTTCCTAAAGTAGAAGCCTATTTCTCTTTAGCAAATTTTGCGAATAATGATGAGTAGTGAGTGCGGATTCAAATTTTTATCTGTTGATATTAGCGACTTTTTAGATGGATGATAAATATAATGTAGAAACTATAAATTTAATAATTACAAGAAAATTTTATAAGATAACACCACAAAAAAAAAAAATTAAATTAATAAAAATTTTATTATAACACCACAACAAAAAAAACTTTTATTATAACACCACAAAAAAATTATAATAAAACTATAAGTAGCACCACAACAACAACAAAAAACTTTTATTATAACACCACAAAAAAAAAAAAAAAAAAAAAAAAAAAAAAAAAAAAAAACCCAAAAATGTGATTTCACCTTCACCTAACGGATTCTTGGATGAAATCTGTTAGTGGGGGCCATAATTGACATGTGTCAATAGCCTATTGG